AAAAAAAAAAAAAAAAAAAAAAAAAAACGATGTCTTGTGCTTATTAGAGAAAAGGGTGAACAAGAAAGTTAACAAAAACGAAAGTCGAGCTTTCGAGCAACCTACCCCGAAATAGATAGTCACCAAGGCAAAAGTCCACCTGTTTATTGACAATGAAAAAAGAAGTCGAAAAACATCAACTAATATATAATAAGGATTAACATAATTCACTTTTAGAAACACTTTCCCGCCAATTTCATTAATTATTATCTAAAAATAGTAAATTAACAAAAATTAATGTAATTAATGTACATAATCTTTTTATCAAATATTTATGGTTATTACCTTTATCAGTAAATTTAGGATGATTTAGTTTTATGGAAATAAAGATGGGGGTATTACAGAAACTTTCGAAATTCTTAGTTTAAATATATAGACTTGACTGAACAATTATAGAGAATTAATCGTTAATCTTTATATCTATATTATATTTCCTATATTGAGTAAAACATAATAAATTATTACTTATGTTATTTTTCATACATCTTTTTGTTGGCATAGTAAAGCTGCAAGATTATCTTTTTCTTCGTAGACAAGATAACCAAATACAAAAATATAAATAACATTTATGTGCCATTAAAAAATATTTTGGACAAAATGTAGAAATGACTTTTAGAAAATACTTAATTAATTTATGGTATAAAGTGGACAAAATTAATAAATCCAATTTTGGTGTAAAGTTGATGATTTTATTTGAAGTATCTGATAGCCATTTTTATTTTTTCATAGAAAAGGTGTTGTTAATAATAAATGTCCAATTTTGTAGTATAAAGTATGTGATTTATTTTTGGTACGAAATGTTCGAATTTAAATAGTATGAATTTTATTTGGAATGGATAGAAGTATATTTGAAATTATTTAAAACAAAATAAGAGCATTTACAATGCATAAATGTTGTTATCACATAAATTTTGACAAATGTCAATTATTTATATGGATTGTGAACCACATAAGATTTTTGTTAAGTTCACAACTTTATATCTAAAAAATTATCTGGCACACAATGTGATCAAACATAATATTGTCAATTGGCAAAAATAAAAATAAAATATAAATAAGAAACAAAAAATAAATTAATAATTATATATTTTTAAAAAGATATTCCATAATATTTGATTAAACACTAAATCCGGCTATTTTGAATCAATTATATTTAAAAGCAGTATTATTATGGAACCAAATGTTATAGAATATCTTTTTAAAAACAGTATGATTATGATATCAAGATATTTAACCACGACAATCTTTTTAATTCAATTCATATCTCTTTTTAGACTTATCAATTCATTTTAATATAGTATGAATTTACAGTAAAAATGAGAGTTGGACTTTACAATAATCACGGTATCAATATTAACAATATAAATGCTAAATAAAATTTAATTATTTTGACTGTACACTTTATTATATACATATAAATAAATCACCTATTTGAACTTTAAATATTTTATTTTTTTTCATATATAGTTATACAATATATGCAACTTAACTAAAAGTAAAAAAATATTCTAAAGATTTCATTTCAATCATGGTAACATGTTTTTTTTTTTAAAATTGCCACAATTTTCGATTCACTAATCCACTGCTCATGTAAACATCTTTTTATTATAATATACGATTTTCTTTTATCATTTTGAATCATTTTCTTATCACTTTTTTTTATGAAACATATTTTTCATTTAAAAACCGTGATTTACGTGTCCTCCGATTCATTTAATTAGTTTTTATCTACAAATGATAAAATATCGTTGTTTTCTTTAAACGTAATTATTTTTATAAAAAATATTTTACAAAAGATACAACCAAAATTCCAAATCTCTGTTAAAACATAACAAAACAAAATCGTTCTCAATTTTTGGAATGAATTTGGCATAAAAAATAAGAATGATTGACCAAAAAAAAAAAACAAAAAGATATACTCAAAATCCACACTTTAACTTTAAGGTAACAATTTTCCTTATACTCGATATCAAATTAAACTTCACCATATAATCATATCTTTAGTATCTATCACAAAAATTACATATTTTCACTATAGTTTTATTTCATGGTGGTAACATTCTAAAAATCAACAAAAAAAATGAAGGAATGAGGTGTCTATGCAATTCACAATTACCAAGTGGAGAGCAATCGTGATAAATATCGATTTACGTTACCAAGTGAAAAATAATTTTGTATGGAAAAACAAAGAGCTTTATAATAATGTATGATTTTTCATGATGATCATTTTACGATTACCTAACAAATGTTCTATGTATTATAACTTATTGATTAATAGCCTTCAATTATAAATTTTACCAAAAAATAGAGCCCGTGCACGTACTAGTTACATTTCATATAAGTAAAGAAACTAAAAAAAAATAAAAAATAAACCTCCACTAATGAATGATTAGAAACAAAAGGTTCTCTTGAGCAAATTCCAACTAAATTTTGAACAAAGACACAACATGCATGCTTGGATACAATTTTTTTTCAAAAAAATCCAATAATTGTTACCCAAACACTTTTTTAATTCAAATTAAACTAAACTTTTAACTCAGCTCTACTTTTACATGAAATAAACTGTAATTATTTTTAATGCAAATTCAAAATCCTACTAATAACTAACAATACCAACTTTTTCAGAATGAACTCTGATTAACCAAAAAAAACTCAAAATTCGAGTGGATTTATTGGTAAACAAGCACGCCCTAATAGTTATCAGCTTTATGAATCGCAAACAAACAAAAGAACAAAAAGAAAAAAGACTGCAAATGCAAAAGCCCTTACTGTGTGTAAAAATAGAATATGCCGACGCTGTGGATGATTGTATCGGCAAGAATCACTCCCAACAAGACACAAAAAGCAATAACTCGATACACGAGCAGCCAAATACAGCCAACTGATTTCGAACATGTTCCCCAAGCTTGGCCTCTGTACATAAAACACTTTGCTGCCTTACTTTTATCCCCATTTGTTTGATTATCTGATGTTTTACGCCGTTCGTATTTCCATATTATTACCGATGCAAAAACGATAGCTACCAATATCCATATTGCACAGAGCAAAAATCTCCAGTTCAACCAATAATCTGGGCCCGTTGTGTCCACTGTCATGACGGGCCCGTTTAGCTAGCACAATGAGAAAAGAAAACAAAGAACAAAAACCAAAAACTATAATCATCATAAATTGTGGTAATGCTGTTAGAATCAAGAACACGATTTTCATGTGGTTTTAATCATAAAAGGGTTGTCTTTATTAATAAAAAAAATAAAAATGAGCAAACAAGGCATTTCGATTCTATGAATAAATTTGAGGTGGGATTCTTTAACTTGCGATATAGATTTCAAATTGAAACTCGTCAAAACATTTTTTATTTGATACATTACAAATACGGAGTTATTAACTTTTAAAATATATTTACAACTAAGTTCGTCGAGTATTGTATAATTTAGAAGTCCCAAGTCTATATCGATTACTCCAAAGCACGAAAAATTGACACATAGGATTACGAAGCAATAGAAATCGACACAATAAAATTACGAAACACAATAAATCGACATCTAGGCGTCGGGGAAACTACGAAAACAGGCAATTGAATTATATTGCAATATAATAGCAGCACAATTTGAAGCCTTGCAGCCCATTACTCTGCTAATACAAAATAGAATTGTAATTTGTAACTATCAGTTTTATATTTCATTTCTATCTATATATTCATTCTCTGTCTACAGGGCTAATGGAGAAGTTAGGGAAAATATAAGTTTCTGGAAAACTTAAATATGACAAGAAATAGAAAACAATAAAAAAAATTACCACAAAACATGATATATATCAGCAAAATTTTAAACATATTTTGGTGCAAAAACTGAAATTTTGAGGCAAAATCAACTCTGTATGGCTGGCATAAAAATTTGAAAAAAAAAAATGGAGAAGAAATTGTACCTGGGTTTTTCGAGGAAATCAAATGTTTGATAAGACAATTTATACCAATTTATTTGATTTCCTCGAACAAAAGAAGAGAATCCCAGAAGGAGGAGAAGCAGAAGATTCAAGAATATATGATAAATAATAAACCTTTTCTTTGTCTTATTATTATTCTATATTTTTAAGAGGGGGAAAGAGATGCGGTGGCAGTAGGAGAGTGAATGAGAATGAAAGGTACCATCGATTTTTTTTTTTTTTCATTTTAACGACCACTAGTTTTTGTAGCTTAAAAAAAAATAGATTTTATTTATTTATTTTTTTATTTGTATGTACGACCTATTTTTTTTATATTCAACTTATTTTTTTTTCATACAATAAAAAAGGCCATAATTGATCCTAACCGTCCAGTCCCTCAGTACAAAGCTTCGAGTGGCCTTGACAAGAGAATCATGAACCCCATGGCTGAGTGCAGGCCCAAGGACCATACTCGTCACACACTGACTTAACTCGACGGAAGCCCATCATATGCTAGTTGAAGCCCCTAAAAGAGTCCCCAGAGTTCGGCCCGCGTAATAGTGCAAATTCTGATGTTCCTGAGGAACCCATGGTTCCATCGACCAAGTTCATTCCAGAGTAGTCCTCCCGCACTGCCCATGCCCGTGGTGCTCACAAAGGCACCATCCCGTATTCACCTTGACCCAACCTGACACTAGCGGTTTCCAATGTATCAAGCGGGTAACGTGGGTGTCCGCTCCAGCCTTCATGCATGCGGCTGCAACTCGGATATGGTTTCTAGCCAATCGTACCACCTCCAACTGTTGAGCTGTGCAACTAAGTGTTCGTTGTTGGAACATTTGCTCGTTTCTCCACTTCCACGTACGCCAGACAGTGAAGGTAAAAAGGGTTCTCGAGTTCTCAATTGTCGCCAACCTCGTCTTCCCTAGGTTCGAGCGCAGCCAGGTCTTGAACAGCTGCTGAAAAACTCCCGATCGTGAGGAGGTGGAAGCAGGTGGAGCCATAGGGTCCGAGCGGAGGTGCAGTCACGTAACACGTGAAGGATCGACTCAGTCTCGCCACAAGTATCACACGCAGCAGAAGATGAAAGGTGCCACCGAGCTCGTTCCTCTTTTGTAAGCAGCCGACCCCGGGCGACTAACCACAAAAAATTTCGTGTCCTCTGAGGAACCGACATGCGCCATATAACTTGCCAGAGGTTTTTGTCGGGGTCAGGTTGGACGAGAAAGCGAAATGGATCTTCCCGGTGGGTCTTGAGTAGGGCATGGTAAGGCATACTCAGAACTGAGCAGTGCCCGATAGACCGTTCGTGTAGAGAATTGTCCATCATGAGAAAATCTCCAAAGGAGACGGTCCTCCTCAGCTGTGGCAATCGGGGGAAGCGTGCCTAGGATCTGAAGAATAATTGGAGAGAGAAGCAGGCCATGAATGGAGTCCCATTTCCACCTTCCATACTCATCTACAAAATTAGCGACGGGAAGGTGAAGATCCTCGTCTGGTGGACGTCGAAGGGCAGTCCTTATAAGTGGTAGTTCCATCCCAATCCAGGGATCAAGCCAGAACCTAGCCATTTCGTCATTTCCAATCGCCCACTGAGCACCTCTCGTAACATCAGACCAGATTTTGCTGAGAGATCGCAACAAAGGTGAGCCATGACCACGCCAAAAATAACCCAACCTAGGTTAAAAGGTAAAGTCATACTTGGCCTTAAAGATACGAACCCACAAAGAATTCGATTTCGTCAAAACTGCACATCCGAGCTTCATAAGTAAAGCATGATTCATGCGACGTGGATCCTTTAGACCCAAGCCCCCCTCATCCTTAGGTTTGCAAACGTCTTTCCAAGCAACCAAGTGCACCTTCTTCATTTCCTCAGTGCTACCCCAAATGAAAGCACGACTACGACGCTCAATACCATCCGTGATGGTACAGGGCAGCTTCGCGGTTTGCATGGAATAGTAGGGCAGAGCACTAAGTACGGATTGGGTGAGCGTCACTCGCCCAGCCATTGAAAGGAGCTTCATGCGCCAACCAGCAAGGCGTGACTCCACTTTGTCCAGAAGATGTGTGTACGTGGTAGTAGTCACTCTTCCATGAAGAATAGGCATCTCGAGATATTTCCCCAGATTGCTCGTCCACTAGAAATTTAAGATACCCGCCAGTCGTTGTTGTTCCTGGCACTCGACGTTATTGGAGAAGTACATAAGTGTTTTTTCGGGGCTCACCTTAAGGCCCGAGCAGTGACAGAAGTGATCAAGAACCTGCATAAAAATTAAGGCTTGTTCGTCTGAAGCCTCCAAGAAGAGCAGTAAGTCATCGACAAACATAAAAAACGGAACAGAGACTGCCGGCCGGCCAACGGTAATAGGGCGCCATGCTAACCCGTCAACCGTTCAGCATATGAGTTATGCCCGTTCCATGCAGAGGACAAAGAGATAGGGGAAAATGGGATCACCTTAGCGAACCCCTCGGGTAAGCTTAAACTCCTCACCAATTGGTCCATTCCATAATAAATTCATCGAAGCCGAGCCGACGCTGGCCATTACAGCTTGTATCAATTTGTCAGGATAGCCAGACACAAAACTTATATTTATATTATTAAATATTAAACTTTTGTTTATATTCTTTGTTACAAAACCATGCAGAATTAAATGGCTAATAAAAAGGTTAGAGATCCACGAAGTGGGTAGCCTTAACCGAATGTGTTAACAGGTAAAGCCCGAAGGCTGTTCCCGTCCCTATCGGGGGAGATGCCAACTTTGGTGGATCGTCCCGGTCAAGGCGCTATGGAATCGTTTGCTGCCGGCGGTACATAACCCATCCTTCTACCATCAATCACTTAAACCTTGGCTTCGCTCGAATCTATCGACGATGCGGCTGGAAAATTGTGAGAATTGGGCCAGCGTGTTTACCATTGCTATTTGGCGATCGTGGAAGTGGCGCAATGAGCGGATATTCAAACACACAACATTAAGTGTCGAGTCTCGTCGAATGGAGGTGCTGCGCCTAGCAGATAATTATGCTCGAGCGAGGGCTGATTACACACGAGTTGGGGCTGCAACTTATATTACACGAATGATCCGTTGGGACCCCCTGGCTCCGGTTGGGTTAAAGTTAATATGGATGGAGCTACGAATAGGTTGACAGTGATGAGTTGTGCGGGCGACCTAGTCCGGGACGAAGAAGGTCATTGGATCGCGGGGTTTCTCCTGAATATTGGCTTATGCACCATCCCGGGAGCCGAGCTTTGGGGCCTATTTCAGGGATTGCAACTAGCTTGGGAGTGAGGCTTTAGACAAGTCATTGTCGAGATTGATAGCCTTTGTGTGAATAAAATGGTTTGTGGAGATGGAGGCGGGCTTGGACACCAACACCATGAAGCATTGGTTACGACATCCGGAGGCTAGTCCAAAGAGACTGGAATGTTAAGGTCCAGCACGTACACAGGGAAGCAAACTATGCTGCTGATCACATGGCGCGCCTGGCCCAGTCCTACCCTTTGGGATTACACCGCGTCTTCTCTCCCCCCGTGGGGCTCGGAGCCTGGATTGAGCATGACAATAGTGGGATATTTTATCCCCGACGAGTCCTAGCTTAGGCTTGTGACATTTTTCTTTGTACAAAAAAAAAAAAAAAAATGGCTAAAAGACTCACCAAGTTGTATTTATTTATTTTGAGCACCGTGGATTTTGTGTGGCAAAAAAGTTTGGTTGTGCTTAGTTAATCTTAATATGCATGTACAGAAAGTTCAAAAATATTTTTTCATGATCAAAGCAAACCCCCCCGCGTAATATCTTTTCACCTGAAAATACAAATTTTTATTTCCGCATACTACTCTCTGCTATTTTTATTAAAAAATATATATATATATATATTTACATTTGTACTATTTTTTACAATTTGTTTTCGATTTTTGTGGAGCTGAGTCCATTTTTTCCATTAGAGCACCGAATCACAATCACCCAACTGGCTTAAAATTATTAGAGTCTAAACAAATTGAAAATAAACAAACATTTAAATAAAAGGAATTTAAACACACACACACACACACACACACACACACACACACACACACGTTGTGCAGACTAGGCTTAATGAAAATTGAAAGTTAATCACAGAATACAGCAAGTTATAATAAACAAGATTCTGCAGCTAAGCTACAGAACTGGCAAGAATGCCTGTAAATGTAGGTGAAAAAATAATAATAAATTGTGAAGTACACTTTAATCTGTATTCATACATTTTCTACGCTTCATCGTCACCGTCCGATAGCTGCTTAGCTAACAAATCAATGGGCAGTGATCCAACCGGGACCGAATTATTGACTGCTTCAAACGGATCATCACAATATTCATCATAATATGAATCATCGTATTCGTAACTTTTGTCAAATTTTGAAGTCGATGAACCTTCTTTATTCGAATATATCATGGCTGGGTTCGAGTGCTCTATTGCCCGAGACTTGCTGTCAAATTCCTCAACCCTCGACAAGAGTTCATCTGGACTGAGGTCAAAATTGTCAAGTACCGAAGCTTTTCCTGATTCGATCGCGCGTTTCCATAGGGAAGACATTTTATGGCTCGGCCCCACTGATTTCATACACGAGTTGCGAAAAAAAGAAATACACGATAAAAATTCTGGAGGAACATAAAATAAATGAACCCAAAATAGTATAGAAAAAAATAAAAATAAAAAAACAGTCGCACGATCAGTCTTTCTGTATGTGTGAGTTTTTGTTATAGTAGTAATTTCTATAAATAAATATTTTAAAAAGGCAATATTGCATTTATAATCCTGTTGGTTAAACGCCATAGCAATTTTAATCCCAAAGTTTTAACATTTCGCTTTTTTGTCCCGTGTGATTTAATATTTTGTAGCAATTTCAAACCTTTGAGGACTGAAATTGCTGCAAATTCTAAAAAAAAAATCCCAATTTTTTCAAATAGCAATTCAAATCCTGTAATTTAAAACTTTGTTGCAATTTTAGTCCTCAAATGACTAAAATTACATACATTACAGCAAAATATTAAATCACATGACCAAAAGGCAAAAAGTCAGAATCCTTAGACTAAAATTGTTATGCTGTAAAATCAAAAGGACTAAAAATGCAATTTTTGCCTTTTAAAAACTACAATAATGGAATTCATAAACGGGTTTTCATACGGTTTTGTTATGGAACTTCTGTCATATGAACAAGCACCTTACCCTTCCCCTTCGAGCATGACAAGAAGAGGGTTCAGAAATTTTTCGATTCTTTATTATGAAGTACGTAAATTGATGAATAAATAGAAGGCCTAGCAAAAGAAAATTGTAACTCGATGCACAATAATCGATTTTACATTACGAAAAGTACCTGAAACATTGTTGTTGACTCTTGACGTTGAGCCATCACTAAACCTGCCATTGATTTTAGGAATCTCGTCTTCTTCATACATAGATTTCCACTCTCTACCCCTCCACATCAGTATTTGTTCATCATCGAACGAAAGCAAAACACAAGGTACAAGTTCCTGTTCATGAATACAGAGATTGTACCTCCTTCATTTTTTGTCGTTAAAGAATAGAATAAGGTATGAAATGAATAAGAAACCTTGAGCTTAGCTCCTAATTTCTTGTAATCACTTGCATGCATCCCTTTACAATCTATCTTCACCAATACCGATCCTTCCAAAGCAGTTCTTACATCACTAACCAGTGTAAGATAGACTCCATTTTTCGCTATTTATACAACAAAAAGACAATCAATTCAAGAGAAAAAAAAAAGAAAAAAATAGAACTCACACTTCTAAAGATATCCATCCACCGCATGTAAACTGTAAAAGACTTTTTTTCTTTTTTTACCTAATTTACAAATTGGCAACAGGCTTTTCCCTTTCGTTCTTAATTTGTCTGCTTCTTCTTTAGTCAACCCCTCGGGAGCATCTTGTATAAGCTTTGGGTAAACTGGTGTGGCGGGCTTCCAAAGCATGACAGGAAATTTAGGACGCTTTTGATGATCATAGTTTCTACCTCGAAAAACATATACAACTCCACCCATCTTACGAATAATCTTTCCACCAGATTTTTCCTGTCAGAACATAAGAACAAAATTCAATCTTGCGCGTGTAGAGAACATTTCGGCGCAGAAAGATCATGCTGGAGACAATAAAAACCTCATAATCGCTGGAAAAAAAAAACGAAAAAGAAAGAAATTTGTGAAATGTAATGTGAGGAACCTCAATGCACGAGCAAATGTTGTCCATATCGACAGTAGGGACACCTAAACATCGAACTTTGCAGACGGGCTGTCTTCTCCAGTGTGTATGTATCAACTCCAACATGTTATGAGTTAATCCATCTCTACCTACATTTTTACCCAATCTCTGAATTAAAAAGGACTAACTTCACAATAGATGATAGCATATGAATCGAGATATATATGATAAAACTAATAAAAAACACCAGCAAGCAAATAACTTTCACAAAATCCAAATCACAATAGTTTTGATTTTTGAATACACAAACAAAGGGAGAAAAACCCACCTAAATTCACCTGTCGATTACTCGACAAACACTGCTTCAGCATCTCTTTAACTTCCCACCCAGCAAGCGGCTCACCCAGCACCTCTTCCCTCGGCCGCACAGTATAACTCCCTAGCTGATAACCCCTCAACATCTCGAACCTTTTCCGGCCATCGCCATCGCCATGGCCGTCAGCCCCGAGCGGCTCGAAAAGCTTGATGTTCCTCTTGCTCTTCTTCATGGGAGCTTTCCCCGTCCAGGGACGGGACATGGTGGGCGGCGCGAACGGCAGGAAGGCGGGCTCACGCAGGGCTAGGGGTTGAGCCTTGGGCGTCTCCGAGTAGCTGAACATGAACTCGAAGGGGGCGCCGGGAAGCTGGTACGAGATCCCGGAGCTGCCCACGACGATTGCGCGGTCCTCCTCGCCGTCGGGAAGGGGAATCTTCTGCCCGGGTTTGACGGGCTTGGGGTAATTGGTCCGGCGGTGGTGGGTCTTGAAGGCGG